TGAGTTTCTGTGGGTCACCACTCTTGTTCAAGATAGCCACTGTATTAGTCCAAAACTGTTTTCACAGGAAAAAAGTATTCAGGGGTCTCCATGTACTAGAAAGAAACATGAGGTTAAATAAGACAAAGAAGGAACATGGAGTCGAGAACAACAGAAGGAAGAAAAATGAGTACACGCCTGCTCTGCTCAAAGAAGCAGGTGGCTCAAGATACATTAATTTGCTTAGGAGCCTGCACAACTTCCTACTGAGGTGGAAATGATGGGTGACATTTCTACCTCAAAGACAAACAACAGGCAAAATCATTTTCTCCATGCTGAAAGACACCTTGGTCACACAGGTTTTAGTTATTAACAAAGACAAAGCCAGATGAAAGAGAGAAAAACTAACCCACAGACTATTTTTCTAGCATTCTCTCTGGTTCCTACTCTGGTAATCTAGGTTGCCCTTTACGTTACCCTGAGATATAAATAGCATTCATTTCCTTTCACAGGCCAGGCAGAGTTTAATGCTTTGTTTCCTGGGTCCAAGGGAAAAAATATTCATAACGCACTTCAGTGAAAATTTGAGTTATGGGCTGGGGAGATGGTTCAGCTAGTAAAGTGCTTGCTACACAAGCATGAGGACCAGAGTTCAATCCCCAGCACCCATGCAAAGAAACCCCCACACAGTGACTTATGCTTAGAATCTCAGCACCTGGGAGACAGAGACACGAGAACTCCTGGGACTCCATGACCAGTCAGCCTAGCCTAACTGTGAACTCCAGATCCTGATTCAAAACCCAAGACGGACAACTCCTGAGGAACAACACCTGAGTTTGATCGCTGGTCTCCATACATACTCCCACTCACAGGCACACGTGTCCTATCCCTATCTCCTGCACACACACATACAAATTAGTTACTACAAAGCTGACTAATTTTGAATCAGCTAGAAGAAAAAGGACCTGTTCAAAAGACCAAAATTTGTTATTTACATTTTGGTTGTTTTTTTTATTTTTGGTCTTTTTGAGACAGGGTCTCCCTGCAGCTCCAGCTGTCCTGGAACTCACTATGTAGACCAGGCTGGCCTTGAACTCAGAGACCCACCTGTCTCTGCCTCGGAGTGCTGGGATTAAAGGCGTGTGCCACCACGCCCAGCTGTTTTTTTTTAATTGTATTTATTTGTATGTGTATGTGTGATATGTGTATGGGTGTGCATGCGCCATGGAGGTCAAAGGACAAAGGAGAGCCGGTTCTCTCCTTTCACCAGCTTCCAGGGATCAAACTCAGGTCATCAGGTTTGGTGGCAAAGCGCCTTTACCTGCTGAACCATCTCACTGGCTCTGTTCTTGTTATTAGTACTTTGTTTGGGGGTTTTATGTTTTTGTTTTTTGGTCTTTTTGGAACAGGGTCTCCGTCCCCTGTAGCCCATTGGCCCGGTACTCACTATGTAGACCAGACTGGCCTGGATGCCAGAAAGATCCGCCTATCTCTGCCTCCTGAGATAGGGAGGGGACTAAAGATGTGCACCGACCAAGACCGGCATGTTTTTTTTTTAATATTTTGCTGTTTTTATTTTATGTAAATTCATGTATTGCCTGCATGTATGTAACAGTACCCATGTCATGCAATGAACAAGGAGGACAAAAGAGGCCATCAGATCCCCTGGAACTAGAATTATGAACGGTTGTTAGCTGCCATGTGGGTGCTGGGATTCAAACCTGGGTCTTCAGCAAGAACAGTCAGTGTTCTTAACCGCCGAGCCATCTCTCCAGCCCTATTTTCACTTTGTTAAATTAGCCCATGGACTTCTGAGTAGCTGTTTCCTTTCCAGCATATAGCTCAGAATCCTCCAGAACCTGGCTCCAGGTCTTTGCCATGAACCCAGACTAAAATGCAGGTGAACTTTTTACACAATGACTTGGATGAGTACTGAGCCTCAATGGGGCTCTGTGGAAAAGGGGACCTTCAGTTGCTAGAGAGCGAGGAGGCAGTTCTCCCAAGCCACACTCCATTCTCTTTAAGGAAAGAAAGGCTTCCCAAAGTTAAGAGCAATAAAATTAATAAAGCAGAAAAGTCACTGCCTCAAACACCTACCAGCCTAATGCCAAGACAAGATCTGAACAGCTGGAGAGACCAGGAGAATCAGATCCCACTGTGATTCTGTGTCACAACCCAGCGTCTAGACAGCTATGTGAACCTGAAGTCTCCCAACTGGAGACTTGCTCCGTTTATTTTTCCTATGACAGCACCTACCCAGTCACCTTGTGTAACGTGTATGTGTATGTGTACACACATATATACCATGTGCATGTGTGGAGGTCAGGAACATGTTGGTCCTATGACAACACCTACCCAGTCACCTTGTGTAACGTGTATGTGTATGTGTACACACATATATACCATGTGCATGTGTGGAGGTCAGGAACATGTTGGTCCTATGACAACACCTACCCAGTCACCTTGTGTAACGTGTATGTGTATGTGTACACACATATATACCATGTGCATGTGTGGAGGTCAGGAACATGTTGGTCCTATGACAACACCTACCCAGTCACCTTGTGTAACGTGTATGTGTATGTGTACACACATATATACCATGTGCATGTGTGGAGGTCAGGAACATGTTGGTCCTATGACAACACCTACCCAGTCACCTTGTGTAACGTGTATGTGTATGTGTACACACATATATACCATGTGCATGTGTGGAGGTCAGGAACATGTTGGTCCTCACCTTCCATGTTGCTTGAGATAAAGGCTCTTGTTCATGGACACGAGTGCTAGGCTAGCTGGCCTGTGAGCTTCCAGGGATTCTCCTGTGTCTGCCTCCCATCTCACTACAGTACTGGGATTACAGATACCTATGCTACCTAACTCCTGGATCTACCTGGGTTCTGAGGATCTGAACCAGGTCCTCAGGCCTGCAAAGTAATTACTTTTCTCATTAAGCCATCATGCCCCACCCCACCTCCAAGCCTCACCTTGATACTCTTGAATTCAGCAGAGACAAAAAACAAAGAAAAGAGTATTTTAGAATTAGCAAAGTGAGATCTTTAAGGTATGAAATGAAAACTGGATTCACCGTGCCCCCAAAGCATCCACTTGCCCAAGATGCCTCGTTTATCCTACAAGGACCACCATGCTGCTGGACTGGCCCTGTGCTCTCAGTTCCAGAGGAATAGTTATTTGGTTTGTTTTGTTGTTTTTGTGAGATGAGTCTCATCTAATGTGGCCCACCCTGCCCTTGAATTCACCAGTGTAGCTAAAGATGATCTTGAACTCCTGATCCTCCTGCTTCCATTTTCCAAGCACTACGATTACAGGCATCCACATCATATACAGCTACAACTAGCATTTAGAAGCAGCCTTTTTGCCTTTGGTTGGTTCCCTAGGCTTTGGGGAAGTGGATATTTTGATCACCTGCATGTAGGAAGAATAAGAATCCACTACCCGTTTCCATTGGGCTGGATCTACTGGAGCATCTGTTAAGGTGAGAGCAACTATGGAAACAGATGACCCAAACAGAAATGGGGATTTGGTTTGGTGCCATTACTAATTTCAACAGGAGCAACCTAGCAGTTACTAACATAACCCCATGTACTGTGGTGTTATGATGCAGATGAAACCTTTTGAACTGAAAGTCAAAGCAAAATCTTGACAATAATTCCTCTCCAGCATGTAGCCAGTTTTTCTTTTGTGAAATGCAGTGAAAGCTTCTGCCATTCATGCAGATTTCTCACCCTGGCAGATAACTGTTTCCAGAGCTGGCTGGCCTCATTTCTAGAGGACTAAAAGTGTAAAAAGCTCCCGACAGCCGGGTCTGGCATGGGAGCAGAAAAGACAGACCCACCTCTTTGTGATCCTCTGCTTGTCAGAATTTCTGGCAGCCTCTTGTGACTGGCAAAGAGAGGATGTTCTCTTAATCTTAAAATTCTCACCTATCCCAGTACCACAGCCCATAATGTCACAGAAACTTAAGCAACATGTGTCTTGGGTGAACTCTGTGATAAGTCCAAAAGAGATGCAAACTATCTACACCATCAGGGGCTCTGATCACATCTTGTGGTAGTTGTGAGGAAGGAAAGGCATAAACACTGAGGAAGTCCTCTGCTGCCTAGTTTCTTCTCATTTTATAAACTTGTTCAATGTGTCACCTCTCCCTACTCAGAGTTTCCAAGCCTTGTAAGAGCAAAGAGTCCTGGCCCCCACTTGACAAGGCTACTTGACAGATTTCCATCCCTAGCAAAGGACAGAGAGGAGTGGTACCAATAGGTACTAGTGGTTGCGCCAAAGCCTGCAGGAACCTGGGCACACCCAGGAGAAAACAAACACCAAGGAGCCCAAGCACTGGACAGAAAAGACTTCGGGTCTTCCCAAGTCACCGGGCTGACCCAAATTTCAGCCCTGAGTCTCTCAGTTTTCAAAGAACAAAGTCCTTTTCAATACTTAGCCTTTTGTGTTGTACAACCTTATTATCCACCAGGGGCCAGGTGGCAAAAACTTAGGTTCACCTGCAGGTAACCTCATCCCCGCGGGCCTCCAGCCCCACGGTGGCCAGGGGTCCCCTGCAGTCCTGCTCCGTGCACAAGCCACTGTGTCACAGCTGCTGGGGCGCACAGGGAAGCCCCAGCACACACATCACACCTCATCCGAAGGAAGCTGTCACAGCAAGACTGGGACGAAGGGGAGAGCTCGGATGAAGAAACTGAAACTCCGAGAGGAGCAAGCAGCCAGTGGCCCGAGGTCACACACCGGGCCACCCACGGGTTTTCCTAACCCCTCCGCCTCGGGATTCCCCGGCACCCGGTTCCCATCGGTCTGTCACCATCACGCCCAGCTGGAAGTACCTCCCGGCAGAACCTGAGCCTCAGCATCCCCGCCGGCCGAGACCTTGACCTTCGCCCCGCGCGGTCCCCCTCCAGTCCCCTGAGCCCCGTCCACCCGAAGGCCTGATCCGCAGCGGCCCGGCCCCGCACCCCGGACCCCGGCTCCCCGGCTCCCGGTGGCTCACGGACCTGCACAGTCGCGCTCCCGAGACCCACCAGCGGCAGACATTTCCCGGCCTGCTTCCTCCAGCCCTTCATCCCGCCGCCGGCCGCGCGCGCTCCGCCCCAGCACGGGCCCGCCCCCACCCGCGCCACCTCCGCCAATCGCAGGCCAAGCTCCGTCCTCTCCCCGCCCCCAAGCAGAACGGAGCCCAGCCCCTGAAGCCAGGCATCCTCCAATCCCTGCCGCCTCTTCCGAGACGGATATCTGCCTCCTCCAATGGGCGTACACCTGCTCCGGGTACCTGGGTCGGGGTTCCATTCGCTAGGCGTCTGCGACGCCAGGTCTAGCTCCGCGCACCTGTATCTGGACAGCCACCGGAACTCCGGATCCCGGGGCTCCGGGTGTAAACCTGTGGCAGGAACAAGAAACTCAGACTGAGCCACGGACTTGAATAACTAGATACATTTTGTAAGGTCATAGGTGGAAAAAAAAGTTTTGGGGCTGGAGAGATGGCTCAGCGGTTGGGAACACTGATTGTTCTTGCAGAAGACCCGGGTTCGAATCCCAGGACCCTCATGGCAGCTAACAACTGTCCATAACTCCAGTCCCAGGGGATCCGATAGCCTCTTCTGACTTCCACGGGCATTGCACAACACCGGTGCATTTACCTACATGCAGGCAATACACGCATACACATAAAATAAAAATAAATTTAAAAAAATTTTTAAGTTAAAAAAAATAAAGAAAAAGATTATAGGGGGAGAATCTCCAAGCCCGCTTCCCTAGCGCTCAGCGTGGGTCTGAGGTCCAAAGCAGTTAATAGATGGGAAGACGAAAGTGTTCTGCCAGAGCAGAGACCCTCCTCCGCTTTCCTTAGACCTCATAGGCACCAGTGCTAGGACTACTTCATTTTGCAACACAATTAGGTTATCCTAGTTTGTTATAACTGTTATCCTAGTTTGGTAGAGGAGGCAGCTGAGAGGAGGCTAAGTCCAGTGTCACAGAGTGGCAAAGTGGGGGACTCAACAAGATGCCAGTACTAAAGAGCGGGTTGGAGGATTTAATTACCCACTATCTCTATCTTCACCTTGCAGGCCACTTCAGACTGGCTCTGAGGCAAAGCAGCATGTGCATGCTATTACACATACTAAGACAAGGCCTTTGGGGTCTGGGGAAGTAGCTCTGTAGAGTGCTTCTGACCGAACACCACATAAAAGGAGTCATGGGAGGCGGGGTTCACCTGTAATCCCAGCATTCAGGAGGTCAAGGTGGGAAGATCAGAAGTTCGAGGCCAGTTTGGCCTACATAGTGAAACTTAAATAGACACATACACACACACACACACACACACACACACAGAGAGAGAGAGAGAGAGAGAGAGACAGACAGACAGACAGACACACACACAAGCACACACACAGAGAGAGAGAGAGAGACACAGACAGACAGACACACACACACACGCACACACACAGCAATCCTCTGGTATCCCCTAGTTGGACTGCCAACACTTCCTTCTTCTAGTTCTTGAGCCATCTCTGCCTCTGACTCAAATCCAGGTGTGTCTGATTCAAAAACCCTTGCCATTAACCTTCTTGCTCAATCCTTCCCTATGTTCTGGCTGCTTAGCTTGTAGAACTGCATGAACCTGATCCAACCGAATTGGATTTGTAAGAACATTTTACTAAGGGGACCTGAAGTTCTGGTTCTAGGATGTGGCCAGACACTGCTTTCAATTTTTTTTTCAGCTTTACATATTACTAAACCATATTCAGCCTTACCTGGTCACAAACGCCTTAGATTATTAGGCAAAACAATTTTATCTCTCCATTTCCATTGTAGAGGCCAGAAAACCAAGGTCTGAAGAAATAAAAGACTGTCCAGATTCACATATTGGAAGTGGCAGAACTGGGGTCTGAACCGAAATCTCTGAATTCTCTGGGCTTTGATGTCAAAATCTATCCTGTGGGGTTGGAGAGATGGCTCAGTGGTTAAGAGCTCTGGAACTGGGTTTGGTTCTGCAGGCATTGCATGTCATAGGTACACTTACACACAGGCAAAACACTCAGAAACAAAATTTTTAAAAATTTAAAGCTATCTTGTTACTTCAATTGATGAATGGTCTCAGGTAAGTTTCTTAACTTTTTCTGTGTCAGCTTAAAGATTTATTTTTTTTAAATTATGTGTATATGTGTGTCTGTGTATGGGTATGCATAAGTGACTGCAGGTAACCACAGAGGCCAGAGCAGGGTGTATGATCCCCTGGAGTTGGAGTTACAGGCAGCTGTGAGCTGCTTGATGTGGGTGCTAGGATCCGACCTGAGGTCCTCTGGAAAAGCAGCATACACTCTTAACCACTGAGCCATCTCTCCAACTCAGAAACTGCTTTTCTTAAAAAGCACTGGCCCAAGTAAGACTTGGACCCACAGAGTAACTAAAGGCAAGGTAGAAACTGACATCTCTGTCTTCATTTTGTGTCTGCCTCTCTTACTTTGGGTCAAACCCTGCTTGCCTCTGTACAGGCATGTTAATCACGTTAGGACTGTCTGTCTACCTAACCTATCTCATTCCCCTTCAAAGCTGAAGGCAGGAGATAAGTCATGGTCTTGAACCTGTATCACCTTGGAACCAGCTTGTTGCCTTAAGCAACAAGAACTTCTGACCACCTTGCAGAACCAGAACTGACACAGTACCAATGGACCACACCTTGGCCAGCACTCTATTATCCATTCCTTTTGCCTCTTGCTTCACTATTCCTCTATTTAAGCTTAAAGTTCATGTCCATATCCTGAAGCCAAACTTGGAGCCACTGGACCCATTTATCTGTTTGTTTGGTTTTTTTCTCCCTGATATGTTAACCCCCCTCTCTGCTTTTCACTATTATTAATCTCTCTCTCTCTCTCTCTCTCTCTCTCTCTCTCTCTCTCTCGGTGTTTTTGAGACAGTGTCTCTCTATAGCCCCAGCTGGGCTGGAACTCACTATGTAGACCAGGCTGGCCTCAAACTCACAGAGATTTGCCTGCCTCTGCCTCCCAAGTGCTGGGATTAAAGGCGTGCACCACCACGCCTGGCTTATTATTAATCTGTTTAATTGGTGGATTGGGATGGGTGAATCTTTGGAGTTACCAGAGCTTGGGTTTTTGTCTAAACCTCCAGTCATAACTTTACTCATCTATAAAACAGATATCTACTCCTTACTATTTCTCCAGAGATGAAACAAAATCAACATGGCTTGTTTTGCACTGTCTAGATAGCTAGAAGAATGTCTGGCCCACAGTAGGTGCTCAATCAATGTTAACTAGTTTCTTTCTTTAGCTGTGGTTTCTTGACCAAGGTATTTTTACTCTGACCTTCTGTGACACACTGGAAGACTGGGTGTGGACAGCCAAGGCTCACCTTGGACCCTAATACCTTCATCTTTAAAAATGCAAGGGTTGGGATGGTAGATATCTAAGGGTCTGTCCCTCTCACCCAGGTTCTTCCCTGAGGTTGTCTCTATCGTGACAATTCAGAGAAATGGAACTTCCCTGCTGGTTACCCCAGGTGGGTGTGGACCCCAGAGGGAAGAGGAGATAACAGGTCTGCAATACAGATACCCAAGCCAAAAAGACACAGATACCCTTAACACCCCCCCCATAGGGTCCCAATATATATCACTGTTGAACTCATGATCCTCCTAGCTCTGCCTCCTGAATGTTGGGATTATAGCTGTATACTACCATGCTCACCTCTCTTCATTCTTACAGCAAAGCACTGAGCCAGGCACATTTAGTACCCTAGGACCCCATTTGGTTTAGAGTCACACACATCCTCTAGTAATAATGCTCTTAGCATAGTTCCTTCATCTGCATATACTATGCACACACACACACACCCCTCGCTACACAATGCACCTAGTAACCTCAGAACCCCTCCATTACCCACCTGCATCAGGCTGCCTGTTTTCCCATCTCTGAACAATAGTATGAATTTCCCCACCCCTGGTAACAATCAAATTTAGACAGTTTCTATTTAAGTGTATTCCTAATGTAACTGAGTGTAAAGAATAGAAGGGTTGATCCAGCCTGAACTAGTTTTGGGTGCCTGGGCAGTAAGGCAAAATTGTGTCCTCTAGTAATCTTTTTTTTTGGGGGGGTGGGCTTTGTGAGACAGGGCCTCCCTGACCTGGAACTCACTATGTAGACCAGGCAGGCCTTGAACTCACAGAGATCCACCTGCCTCTGACTCCCAAGTGCTGGTACTACAGGCATGCGCCACCACGCCTGGCTCTCTACTAATCATTTCTTTTTTTTTTTTGGTCTTTTTGAGACAGGGTCTCCCTGTAGCCCCAGCTGTCCTGGAACTCACTACATAGACCTGGCTGGCCTTGAACTCAGAGATCTATCTGCCTGCCTCTACCTCCCAAGTGCTAGGATTAAAGGCGTGCTCCAGCATGCCTGGCTCTAGTAATCTTTTACAGAGAATCCTATATACCACCTTTGCCTATCAAAATTGGGTGTGCATATGATTAAAATCAGGACATGTGCAGCAAGAAAAATAAATGTATGTTCTAATCTATCAATCAAAATAGAGAACCACACCAACTATTATTATGCCCCTTAGTAATCAGCTCCTCCTTCCTTTAGACCCCATAAAAAGAGACCCCTGGGGGTCTGGAGAGATGGCTCAGTGGTTAAGAGCACTGGCTGCTCTTGCAGAGGACCTGGGTTCAATTCCCAGAACCCACATGGCGGCAAGAACCGACCTTAACTCCAATTTCCAGGGGAATCCAAAGCCTTCTTCTGACTTCTGAGGCACTGCATGACAGGGTGCACTCACATACATGCAGGAGATACACTCATACACATAAAATAAATAAATAAATAAATAAATAAATAAATAAATAAATAAATAAATAAATAGAGACCCCTGGCTATAGCCCTTGAGTGCTCTCACTCATGTGGCCCTCGTCAATCTTGACAATGTATACCCCTCTATAACCTGCATTATCCCTTTGCTCCAAATAAAGTTATCTTGCTTCTTTTGCAAATCTGTGTGAACCCTTATTTTCAATTCTTTGGATAAGAAGCCCAGAACTTGGAAACACTGTTTACATGGAAAAGAGGCCCAAGCTAAGAAAGCCTTGGGCTCTAGCAATCTAGCCAATCCTGCCTCGCCCTGGATGCACTGTTTGCTAGCCTACTTTAGGAAGGGAGGGCATTTGACCTAGCCAAGTCTGAGTTCCTTCATCTATAAAATAGAGTCATTGATAACACCTGCCTTAAAAGGTTGTGGTAAGGATTAAATGAGAAAATGTATGAAAAAGTCCTAGAATAGAATCTAACACATGACAAATCAACAATGAATGGTAGCTATGTTCTGTAAAAGCAGAAAGAGGAAGTATTTTCTGAGCTTCTATATGGTGGTCGTTTTCAGCAAAGTTATTTTAATTCTTACAACCCCGTGAGAAGGATACTGGTTACATCTAGAAAACTACAAAAAAACATAGGTTCATAGTGGTGAAATAGCTTGTCCAAAAATACACAGCTAAGCCAGGCATGGTACACACATCTTTAGTCCTAGCACTTGGGAAGCAGAAGTAGGTGGACCTCTGTATAGGTCCTGTCTCAAAACAGCAATAGGGGCTGCAGACATGACTCAGCGGTTAAGAGCATTGGCTGCTCTTGCAGAAGACCTTAGTTCGGTTCCCAAATGGTGGCTAACAACCTTCCATAACTCCAGTTCCAGGAGACCCTTCTTCTCTCCGTGGGCATTGTACACACATACGTGCAGGCAGAACACTCAAATGCATTAAATAAAAGTAAACAAATATTTTAAAACAACAAATCACACAGCTAGGGATTGGCTGAATGGACTTTATACCCTACAGGCTCTGTCACTGCAAGCTGCAGAGCTCCTGCCTTCTGGTGCTAAAGGTTGATTTTCCCTTATCCAACTTGCATGAGACTGGAAGGAATTCAAACTTTAGATTTTGGAATATTTGCATGGACATGCCAACATATCTTAGGAATGGAACCCAAATCTAAATGCAAAATTCATTCATGCTTCATGCATACTTTATACACATAAACTGAAGGTGATTTATATGATTTAATAAATTTGAGTATGAAATGGAACTTCATGGAGGGGTATTTTTCCATTTGCAATATAATTCTGGCACTCAAAAAGTTCTGGATTTCAGGGCTGGAGAGATGGCTCAGCAGTTAAGAGCACTGGTTGTTCTTACAGAAGACTCGGGTTCAAATCCCAGCACCCACATGGCGGCTAACAACCGTCCGTAACTCCAGTTCCAGGGAATCTGAAGCCCTCTTCTGTCCTCTGTTGGCACTGCACAACATGGGTGCACTGACACACATGCAAGCATAACATTTATACACACACACACTCATAAATAGTTATGATTTTCAGCTGAGTGTGGTGGTACACACCTTTAATCCCAGTACTCTGTGAGATCAAGGCCAACCTGGTCTACATACCAAGATCCAGGCATGCTGGGGCTACAGGGAGACCCTATCTCAACAACAGAAAAGAAAAAAAGAGAAGAGGAGAGGAGAGGAGAGGGAAGGAGAGGAGAGGGGAGGGGAGGGGAGGAGAGGAGAGGAGGGAAAAGAAAGAAGGAAGGAAGGAAGGAAGGAAGGAAGGAAGGAAGGAAGGAAGGAAGGGAGAAAAGAAAGAAAGAAAGAAAGAGAAAGAAAGAAAGAAAGAAAGAAAGAAAGAAAGAAAGAAAGAAAGAAAGAAAGAGAAAAGAAAGAAAGAAAAGAAGGAAAAGTTCTGGATTTTGAAGCTGAGCATGGTGGTATATACTTATAATTCTAGCACTTGAGAGGCAGAGACAGGAGACTCAAGAGTTCAAGGCCAGCCTTGACATCATAGTGAATCAAGAGCCAGCTAAGCTTCATGAGACTCTGTCTCACAAAAGAATAACGACAAAAGGATAGGGATGCTCCTCAGTCGGTAGTGTCTACCTAGCACATATGAGACTCTTTTGATCCCCTGCATCACATAATCCAGGGTTGGTGGCACACAGCTGTAGTCCTAGCACTTGAGAAATAGAAAAGGGAGGATGAAGAGCTTAAGGTTAACCTTGGCTACATAATGAGTTCAAGGCTAGTCTATATGAGACCCTGTCTCAAAATTACAAAAAAAAAAAAAACCACACAAAAAACTGGGGCCTGTAATCTTAGTACTTAAGAGGTGGAGGCAGGGGGCTGGAGAGTGGCTCAGTGGTTAAGAACACTGACTGCTCTTGCAGAGGACCCAGGTTCGATTCCCAGCACCCACATGGTGGCTATGAACCCTCCTTAACTCCAGTTCCACGGGAATCCGACGCCCTCTTCTGACCTCCGTGGCATTGTATGACATGAGTGCACTCACAAACATGCAGGCAATACACTCATACACATAAAATAATAATAAAATAAAATAATAAGAAAGAGGTGGAGGCAGGAAGATCAAGAGTTCAAGGTCATCCTCAGCTACATAGTGAGTTTGAGGCCAGCCTGGGCTACATGAAACTCTGTCTCCCCCCTTCCCCTACCAAAAAAAAAGTTTTGGATTTTGGAGAATTTCCAGGTTAGGGATGGCCAACTTATATTACCTTTATTGTCCTGCCTACTACCAGTACTAACAATCATAAAATAAAATAACCTTATTATTTTAAGATTTAGAGGTGGGGCTGGAGAAGTGGTTCAGAGGTTAAGAGCACTGAGCTGGACATGATGGCACATGCCCGTAAGTCCCAGCACTTGGGAGGCAGAGGCAGGATCTCTGTGAGTTGAAGGCCAGCCTGGTCTACATAGTGAGTTCCAGGACAGCTGGAGCTACAGGGAGACCCTGTCTCAAAAAGACCAAAAAAAAAAGAGAGCACTGGCTGCTCTTTCAGAAGACCCAGGTTCAAATTCCAGCACTCACATGGCAGCTAACAACCATCAGTAACTTCAGTTCCAGGGCATCCAACACCTTCTTCTGTCCTTCATGAGTACTGCATGATATGGATGCACTTACATACATACATGCATAACACTCATACACATACAATAAAAATAAATAAATAAAAAACATATATAAAATAAAGATTTAGAGGTAAAAATTTCCCCTGCTTTCAGAATAACATTTAAACTCCTTAACCATTTGAGGCTCTGTAATTCTTATTTTGACTTCCTTTCACTCAAAGCCAATTTGTGTCTAAAGCTTTCTAGATATACCTAGTTTGGAGCCTGGAGATCAGATAGATGGCCACCAACACGCACCATGTTTCCTGTAGATAAATGATGTAAGCTTGGAAGGAGCTGATTGATTAATGGTTCTGGGTGAGCGCCTGAGCCCCAGTACCTGCTGGTGGGAATTTGCATGTACTATAGCTGGTCCTCTGCTTTGTTTACAAACTCTCTTCTACCAGCCTGGATGACCTCCAATCTAAATAAATTCTGTCAAAAGGTATTAACCTCTCACTGCTGGCCCAAAGCTAGACCATTTTTTGACAGCTGCCACAGGTAGTAGAGCAGATTTCTAGGACAGGTAGATACATCTGACAGACTTCCCTTGGTTGTAGCTATGGATGGTAGAGAGAGAAGATGGGCTTCCAGAAGTTTCTGGCCCTGATAACTTGGAAGAAACTCTGTATCATCAGCCTGTGAATCCCTGTCTAGAGTCAGGAGAGCAAAGGGGCCCTGCTATAGTTAACAACTCAGTTTCAGAAGCCCTAAAGAGAAAAATAAATACTGGTCTGGAATGGCAACCAGCGCCTATAATTCCAGCACTCAGAAGGGAGGCTGAAACAGAGGAATCTTTAGTTCTAAGCAAGCTTGGGCTATATAGCAAGACCCTTTCTCAAAAAAGAAAAGCAAATACAGTAGTTGGCAGCCTGGGACATGGTGGCTCTGAATCAGCATTTTTATGAGGGTGCAGAAATGGTGGCCTGTAAGTCCAAAGGGTAGAAAGTCAGTTGGAGGGGGTAGGCCAGGGGCCCCAGCCAACACAGGAAAATCTGGATCTTACCTACCTGGACAGGCTCTGGAGACTTCCTGGAGGAACATTCTGGTGTGTGAGCCAAAGGGTAGTTGGAATACAAGCCTGAGCTCTCCTGTGTCTAGCTGTATGGTCACATCAGAGCCTACACAGAAGAGGGAAGAAGTGAGCCCTTGGCCACAATGAGCTAAGTGCTTACATGCACTTTAAGGGTAGAATCTGCAAAATGGAGAGTCAGAGGCTGAAACACCCAATGTTCCTTTGACCTTAAGCTGACGAGACAGTAAAGAAACACTCTGTCTTCTGATCCAAATTAGCATCATCCCTAGTTTATGGAGGGGAGAGTCCAAGACTCAGAATATCAATCAGCCTTGCCACCACTGTACCACATGGTACTGGTAGAGGCAGATGCTCTAGACCTGTCTCTTCCCTGCCCTATGAGATGGAGAGCATTAGAGGTGGACTAGAGGGACTGTCCATCAGTTAGTCCACCTGAAAGTACCAGGCACTGTGCTAGGCACTGAGAATACCATGGTAGATAGAACAGTTCTGTCCATAGGGAGCCAGGTAAGAAGACACCTGTTTGCCAGGTGTGGTGGTGCATGTCTTTAATCCCAGCACTCTGGAGGCAGAGGCAGATGGCTCTCTGTGAGTTCAAGACCAGCCTGGTCAGAAGAAGAGGAAACAGAAGAAGAAGAGGAGGAGGAGGAGGAGGAGGAGGAGGAGGAGGAGGAAGAAGAAGAAGAAGAAGAAGAAGAAGAAGAAGAAGAAGAAGAAGAAGAAGAAGAAGAAGAAGAAGAAGAAGAAGAAGAAGAAGAAGAAGAAAGAAGAAGACACCTGTTTATAGCATATATTGGGCGCCCAGGGCCACAAGGTAAGCACTTGAAAACATGCTGAACTGATGAATGAACCTCAGATGAAAGTGTGGATAACAAAGTCTGTATTCTGAGTTGGAATCATGGGTCCACCCAGCACTAAATTATTAACCTCTATAGGCACATTGACCTTGTGCATAAAGCTTTCAGCATATAGTGAGGCATGGCAGCTGTAATCCCAGCCCTCAGAGGCTGAGGCAAGATTACTGTACATACTGTACATCTGAGGCCAACCTGGACTACACAATGAGTTCTAGGCCAGCCTAGGTGAGACCCTGTCTCAAAATAACAATTTTTAAAGATTTAATTAGTTAGTTTCTTTTATGTGTATGTGTGGGTGCCTGAATTTATGTTATTGTGTACCACATGTATGCAGGTGGTTGTGAGTCACCATGTGGGTGCTGGGAACCAGGTCCTCTGAAGAGCAGCCAGTGCTCTCAACTGCTGAGCCCTCTCCCCAGACCCTATTTTCTTTTCTTTTCCTTCCTTCCTTCCTTCCTTCCTTCCTTCCTTCCTTCCTTCCTTCCTTTTTTCTTCCTTTCTTTTGGTTTTTTGAGACAGGGTTTCATTTATATCCCTGGCTGACCTAGAACTCACTATATAGTCCAGGCTGGCCTCAAACTCACAATCTGCCTGCCTTTGCCTCCTGAATGCTAAGGTTAAAGATGTGTGCTACCATGCCTGGCATTTTTGTTTTGTTTTATTTCAGCTTAGTTTTTTATATTTTATTTTATTTTATTTTATTTTTTTGGTCTTTTTGAGACAGGGTCTCCCTGTAACCCCAGCTGTCCTGGAACTCACTATGTAGACCAGGCTGATCTTGAACTCACAGAGATCCGCCTGCCTCTGCCTCCCAAGTGTTATTTATTATTTTTAAAAATATTTTATTATTTTTATTTTATGTGTATGAGTGTATTGCCTGCATGTGGAAGACAGAAGGGGCTGTCAGAGCCTCTGGAACAAGAGTTACAGACAGTTGTTAGCTGCCATGTGGGTGCTGGGATTCGAACCCGGGTCTTCTGCAAGAATAACCAGTGTTCTTAACTACTGAGCCATCTCTCCTTGTTTATTATTTTTATTTTTATGTGTATAAGTGTATTTCTTGCATGTATGTAGGTGCATCTGTGTTGTGCAGTGCCCTCAGAAGTCTGAAGAAGGCATTAAACCCCTGGAACTGGAGTTACAGATGGTTGTTAGCCACTGTGTGGGTGCTGGGAATTGAATTTAGATCCTCTGCAAGAGCAGCCAGTACTCTTAACTGCTGAGCCATCTCTCCAGTCCCTAGTTTTCTTAATTTTTTAATAAAATGATCACATTTATTTATGTTTGTGTGCAGGAACATGTGTGTCACAGTGTACTTGCGGAAGTCAGAAGACAACTTTGGGAGTTGATTCTCTCCTTCTACCATGTGCGTTCCCAAGATTAAATTCAGGTCATTGAGCTTGGTGGCAAGTTCCTTTACCTGCTGAATCACCTTACTGGCCCAAGAGTTTTCTTTGTTTTGTTTTGTTTTCTTTCCTCTTTATTTCTTCCTTTCTTTATTTCTTGTGTGTGTGTGAGTGTGCGGGTGTGTATGTGTGAGTGTGTGTGTGTGTGTGTGTGTGTGTGTGTGTGTGTGTGTTTTGAAACAGGGTTTCACTCTTTAGCCCAGCGTGGCCTAGAACTCATGAAAATCCTCCTGCCTCCCAAGTACTAGGATTACAGACATGCACCATCACACCTGTCTGGGAGAGTTTTTATTTCACAGCACTTCTCTCTGTCTGTAGATCCTCTCCTGCTATCCTCACTGGAACTCATATTGAAAAGGCTACTCACCAAGGATGTAGACTTCACCATCTGGGGACACTGAGGGAGGAAAATGAGAAGGTCTTTAGCAATTGAACATCCCTGTCTCACCTCATGCTCCACTCCCACTGACTCTCCAACCCCCAGTAAAGTCAGAGATGACCCAGGGGACACCCAGAGGAGAGTGATTCATACCACCCAGCCCGCTTGGCACCTTCTTCCAGCATAAAATCTCGTGAAATTGGTACTATCTGATCCAAAGATACGTCGTCTCCTGTAATGGCCATCCTCCGGTGTGTATACAGGAAGAGACTGAGGATAGAAAGCAGAAATGAGAAGAGGTCCTCCTTGGAGGCCATAGGTGCTCATGCAGTGGTCCCTACTGCTAGGCTGGCAGTGCCCTGGCTGTTCATGCTCAGGCTCTTTCTGTCTACCATGCCCAAGAAAGCTGCAATTTATAGATGAGGTCATCAAAGCTGCGCTTCTCACATTTGGAAGAAAAAACAATTCCATGGTGCCATCTAGCACTGGAAGTGGTAAGAACAGTGCGTCCTCAGCTACCTCCTTCCTTTCCCTGAACCTCAGTTTACCCACCTATCAAGTTAGGTGGCAGATTAGAAAATGTCTGAGGCCCCCTCCTTCCTGGCTCTGAGGCCCTGAGGCCCTGAGGGTCACTTACTAGTTATGAGACCTTGGCAAGTATTATTTAGTCCCTCTGCTCCTGTTGAAGATGCAGTATTTCCAGGCAACATTTAATGAGCACTTTCTATGTGCCTCACCCTGTTTAAAACCTTTTGCATGTACTGACTTCCTTTAATCTTTTGGGGCAAGGGATTCCTGAGGATCAGACCCAGGACCTTGTGCATGCTAAGGAAGTACTCTACCGCAGAGCTACACTGTTGGCTCCAGACCTTTTAATATCTCTCTCCCTCCTCCCCCTGCCTTCTTTCTCTCACTTTGAGACAGGGTCTCACTATATAGCTCTGTCTGGCCTGAAATTCACTATATAGACCAGGCTGGCCTCAGACTCAAAGGGATATACCTGTTCTACCTCTTGAATGCTGAGATTTAAGGTGCGGGCTGCCACATCTGACTCTCTCTCTTTCTCTTTCAAAGTTTTGGTTTCTGTTTGTTTAGCTTTGAGGTAAGGTCTCACTATGCAGCCCCGGCTGGCCTGGAACTCCCTATGTAGACCAGGTTGGCCTTAAACTCACAGAGATCCACCCATCTCTGCCTCTGGATTTAAAACATGCAAGCCTTCCCCCTTTTAATTTTTAAAATTTTAGTGTGTGTGTGTGTGTGTGGTGTATGGTATGTGTGTGATGTGTACTTGTTAGTGTGGGTGTGTACATTTGTGCCGGTGTGTGTGTCCATACATGTGGAGACCACAGGTTGACTTCAGGTATCTTTCCTCTTCACCCTCCATCTTTATATTTTTATTTATTTATTTATTTTTGTCTTTTTGAAACAGGGTTTCCCTGTAGCCCCAGCTGGCCTGGAACTCACTGTGTAGACCAGGCTGGCCTTGAACTCACAGAAATCTGCCTGCCTCTGCCTCCCGAGTGCTGGGATTAAAGGCATGTACCACGGCCAGCTGTTTAGGATTTATTTTTAATTATGTGCATATATGTCTGTGTATGTGTATGCTTCATGAGTGCAGGTGCACATAGAGACCAAAAGAGGACATCTGATCCCAAAGAACTAGAGTTATACGTGGTTGTGAGTAACCCAATGTGGATGCTGGGAACTGAAGTAGGGTCCTCTGCAAGAGCAGTACGTGCTCTTAACTGCTAAGCCTACCACCCCCTAGCTCTTGTTTTGCTTTAGTTTGGTTTGGATTTGGGGTTTTGTTGTTGTTATTGTTGTTGTTGTTTTGAGACAGGGTCTCCCTGTAGCCCCAGCTGGCCTAGAACTAACTATGTAGATCAGGCTGGCCTCCATCTCACAGAATCCTCCTGCCTCTGCTTCCCGAGTTCTGGGATTAAAGGCATGCACCATGAAGCCTAGCTTCCCCCTAGTTTAGCTTTTTACACAGGTTCTGGGAATCCAAACTCACTCAGGTCCTTATGTGGCAAGCACTTTAACAACTGTTCTCGTTCTCTCTCTCTCTCTCTCTCTCTCTCGATTTATTTTATTCTTAAATTATGTGTATGTGTGTATGTGGGTGTCTGTGTGTGAGTACATACACATGTGAGTGCAGGTTCCCACAGAATCAAGGAAAGGGCATCAAATTCCCTGGAACCAGTTGGATTACAGACAGTTGTGAGCTACTGAATGTAGGTGCTGAGGATTAAATTCAGGTCCTCTGAAAGAGCAGGATGTACCCTTAACTGCTGAGCCATATCTCTACCCCTCTCTTTTTGTTTTTTGTTGGTCTGTTTGTTTTTTGAGACAGGGTCTTCCTGTATCCCCCGCTGGCCTGGAACTCACTGTGTAGACCAGGCTGGCCTCAAACTTGTGGCATTCTCCTGCCTCAGCTTCCCAAGGACTGGGATTACATGTATGAGCTACCATTCCAAATTTAGCCCTCTGATCTTTACTCTGGACAAATGGAGGTATGAAGACATAAAACAGCTTGCTCAGGATCACAATGTCTGGATTTGAACCCAGGCATTTACACAAGTTCAAAATCTGGATGAGTGTGATAATTGCCCCTCCTCTAGATCCTTCCAGGGCATATTTTGCTGATTATATGAATTAACACATGAGGAGCTTAGAACATGGTGCTTAAAGAATATTAACTATCATTATGGTAATTACTGTAGGAGACTCAGACCTGCCCTGGAGGGGAGACTAAAGTCTAGCTGGAGGATAGTAAAGACCAACCCAAGACCCACACAGGCAGGGCCTGTGCCCCACTTACGCATGTTCCTGGGCACCATGTTCCAGGCAACACCGCACCAGCCCCAGCAGGCGGCTCTGCCGGCTGTCTTCCTTATAAAGCACACCTTGAACTGCCTGCTGTTCAGAGTCAAGGGAAAACAAAAACCAAGGCCAAGCCTCTGATCCAGCCCACCCCACTATTCCTGCCTTCCTCCCTCCCTCCCTCCCTCTCCATCCTGTGTGAATCTGGGCAAATCACTTCATCTCTCTGAGCTCCCCTCTTCTGCAAAATAGGTAGAATAGTTCCCAATTGCACAAGGAGGTGAGAGAATAGCTACACATTTAATATTTTTATTTATTATTTTTATTTTATGTGTATAAGTGTATTGCCTGCATGTAAGTGCACCTGTGTCGTGCAGTGCCCAAGGAGGACAGAAGAGGGATTCGATCCCCTAGAACTGGAGTTACAGACAGTTGTTAGCTGCCATGTGAGTGCAGGGAATTGAACCCGGGGCTTCTGCAAGAAGAGCCAGTGCTCTTAACCACTGAGCCATCTCTCCAACCCCCATAGCTGCATATTTAAGGAAGTGGGTAGAGAGACTAGGACCAAGTGGATACTTAGTAAATACTCATTTCTGAGAGAGAGAGAGAGAGAGAGAGAGAGAGAGAGAGAAATTGATTCACACCTTTCATCCTTTCCAAGGCAGGTACCAGCTGGGAGCCCATAACTGAGAAGGATATGATGATACAGTATTCACCCTCAGCCAGGGTCTCCTGGATTGCCACAGACTGGTCCATGCTGGGCCCCCTGAGCATTCAAACACTCGGGGAGGGCAGCCAAGAACCCTTCATGTCTTGACTGAGCAGCTTCAGAGGGCTGCTAGGAAGGAAAGAAAGGCCTCGGTAGAGCCTGGTCCTCTCCCTCTCCCTTTCTCTCCTTCTTCTCCCCAATTTCTCTTCTTCTCCTCCTCCTCTCCTTCCTCCTCCTATCCCTCCTCCTCTTCTTTCCTAGAATGGGCCATTTTAAGTTTTCCATCCCTTTGCCTCTGGCTGGGTCTACTATTTTTTTGTACCCTCCTTTGGGAGGGCATTCAGATGTTCCCAGTGAGGTCTAGTATTCTTGCTGGGCCCCTTGCTTCTGGGCAAGGCTCAGATTCCCTTTTCAGGGAGCATATTGGCGCCCCTCTGGGAGAGATTGGCAGAGTGTCCGAATAGAGATGGGGAGGCAGACATCTCTTTATTCTCAGCTAGGATGGTTCGATCTTGGAAAAGGAACCCAGTCCTGCTCCTCTCTCCCTAGAGCCAGGAAAAGTGTCCCATTACTCCTTGCCCCTCACCCCACCCAGCAGGCCCCGTTGCATCAGCGTCAGGCTGAGGGTGTCCATTCTGCCAGCCACAGGACAAGGGTCCCAGCAGCCAGCTTGCACCCTCCCTCCCCCTCTGCTCCTACTTCCAGCCCCTTGCCATTGCCGCCTACCTCGGGAGCTTCAGAACTGTCACCACTGGGCCCGCGGAACACCGCTGTCTTGGGGCCAAGCAAGGGACTACGTTTCCCAGCGGCCCCCGCGCCATGAGATGGCCAGCCAGCCTGCAAGTCCCATCATGCCCCCGTAAATCATGGGCAGGCGGGGGCGGGGGGGGGGCGGCGACACTGGACTTTGGTTCCCGCCCGATTAAAGTCTAATCAATATCCAAGCATATGCTGGCCTACTCCAAAAAGGCTCTCTAATGAAAGTCTCCCGTCAGCCCTCTAAATGAAGGGGCCAGGGCTTCTGCCCCAGAAGGACAAATGATGGTCACCTTTATCTTAGAAAAAAATGAATTTCTTTTTGGGGGGGTCGTCTTTTTGAGACAGGGTCTCCCTGTAGCCAGCTGTCCCCAGCTGTCCTGGAACTCACTATGTAGACCAGGCTGGCCTCGAACTCACAAAGATCCCCCTGCCTCTGCCTCCCAAGTGCTGGGATTAAAAGCGTGCTCCACCACGCCCGACAGAAATAATTAATTTTTATTATATTCGTCCTAATCTTTTCTCACTGTATAACAGACAATTTTATATTCTCCGGAAACTCTTCTCTCCCAAATAACTGCCTTGTTTTAGCTTAATGGAGTAAGACTACAAGAATCACCATCCCCACTTTCCAGGTGGGGAAACTGAAGCTTTCCTAGAGGTTTAGCAATTTGACTGAAGCCTACAGCCAGCAAGTGACAAGTTGAGGACTCACCTAAAAGTCTGACTCCAATTCCTGCATCCTTTATACAGCTAGGAAGTCCTCCTTCAGGCCCACCTGGTGTTTCGTGTTCGAAAGGGGACTGAGGGTAACAGATGGGACATAAAGTGTGTGGCACCTTCATCTGTGGCACTGAGATGTTCATCACCAGGTTATGTGGAGACCTCCATCCATTCCTCAGGGAGAGGGAGGCCATGGTCCTCTTGGCTTTGAAGACAGCTCTGGGTGGGTTTTGTTCTCAAATCCCTTGCCCATATTCTCTGAGCCATGTGCCCTTAGCAGAAATCTTTCTTTCTTCATTGACCCTGTCTACGTTAGGGACTTTACACCAAGGGTCTGGAGAGATGGCTCAGTGGTTAAGAGCACTGGCTGCTCTTGCAGAGGACCTGGGTTTGATTCCTAGCACCCACATGTCATCTAACAACTGTCTGTTACTCCAGTTCCAGGGGATCTGACACCCTCTCTGGCCTCTATGGGCTTTGCATGACAGGGTACACTTACATACATGCAGACAAAACCCTCACATATAAAATATATAAGTAAACTTTTTTTTAAAGCATTGCACCAAGGAACCAGCTCAGAATGATAAGAGATTCAAGGGATCCTAGAATGGTTCTCTCTCTGCTTACTGGCCATGTCACAAAGCTGATAGTTATCTGAGGACCAATACAGGCTCTAGCTCACAGTACTCTCTGAACTTTGGAGGTTTTTTGGGTGGTGCAGGGGTTTGAACCTAAGGACTTCAGTCCTCATACATGATAGCAGTCTACAACTAAGACTTATCTCCAGCCCATAGCATTTTATTGAATTGATGAATTACTCAGCAAATTAATTTAATGAATACAGTTCTTTTTTCTTCTTCTTCTTTTTTGGTCTTTCTGAGACAGGGTCTCCCTGTAGCCCCAGCTTGCCTGGAACTCATTATGTAGACCAGGCTGCCTCTGCCTCCTGAGTTCTGGGATTAAAGGTGTGCACCAACCCCCTGCCATGCATACAGCTCTTAACTCTGAACAAACTGAAGCAGCAGCAGCAGCTGGGTCAGTGCTGGAAAGGACTGATCATTGTGACTTCTTTTTTGTTTTATAATTATGTGTGTGTGTGTGTGTGTGTGTGTGTGTGTGTGTGCGTGTGCATCTATGAGTGTATGCATATGAGTGCCAGCATGCCAGGGCACTTATGGAGGCCAGAGGACCACCTCAGGTGCCAGTCCTCACCTTTATCCTTGTTTGAGTCAGGATCTCTTGTTTGCCACTAAGTATGCCAGGCCAGCTGGCCCATGAGCATCCAAGGACTCTCCTGTCTCTTGCCATAGGAGCACACTAGAATCACAAATTTGTGCTACTGCATCTGGCTTTATGTGGGGATCAGAACTCAGGTCCTCACACTTGCATGGCAAGTACTCAAGTATCCACCGAGCCATCTCTCCAGTCCATGCTGTTGTTTTAATTTTTATTTATTTGTATTTTATTTATATGAGTGCTTTGCTTGCATGTATATAAATGTACCTAATGCATACAGTGCCCATGGAGGCAAAAAGAAGGCATCAAATCTTCTGGAACTAAAGTTATGGACAGTTGTTAGCTGCCATGTTGGTGTTGGGAACCGAACCTGGGTGTTCTGCGAGAGCAACCAGTGCTCTTAACTGCTGAACCATCTCTCTAGCCCCTATGTTGTTGTTCTGAGAGTTTCACTATGGAGCCCAGGCTGGCCTATAATTCTCTATGTAGCTCCCACTTGCCTCAAACTCAGGAGTCTCCTTTCCTTAGTTTTCCAATGCTAAAATTATAGAGATCCCACCACGCCTGGCTGGCCATCATCACTTTTAACCTATCCCCTCCTTTTTCCCTAAGCTGCACTCTGATGATCATTTCAACCTGTATATGGAAACCCTTTCCAAAAGCAGATACATTTCTTCTTGGTTGTCTACTGGAAACATTCACAGCACAAACGGAGCTCCTTTATTGGAAAACAATTTCTAAGTTACACGGGGGCTGAGAGGAAAACATATTGATTCAGGGGATTGGCCAGGGGTAGAGGTCACTACAGGAAAGCAAGTGATCCCAACTTCAGCTCCTCTCTTAATCTCAAGGCTGGAGAGGAGGGTTGGGGAAATAGGTTGAGACTGGGTTCTTTTTACAGATGAAGAAACTGTCCCTGTAGGATTTCGGGGTCTTTCTACCACATGGGGGTCAAATAGGAGAGTTTTTCAGATATGTCCAAGCCTCTTCTTGGAATTGGGGCTTAGGAGCTGCCCCCTTGGCCTAGGCCTTGTGAGGGAGGGAGGGAGGGAGGGAGAGAGGGAGAGAGGGAGAGAGGGAGGGAGGAACCTGGACTTGCCAAATCCTTTTTACTAAAGATGCAGCTATAGATTCAGAATAGGGGGATCTGGGGGCTTGCAGAATCCATAGGGTCTTGTGGGCTGCTGTTCCCTGATTCAGCTGTGCTCACCTAGCTAGTGGATTGAGTACATGAGCAGAGCAGCGTGGAGAAACAGTAGTGTGGCTATGGACAAGGTCCTGAGCAGGGAGCTCCTGGTGGGTCCTGGAGCTGCTTGGTTGAAGTGGGGGTTCCCATCAAGCTGGAGACAGCTTCCTGAAGCTGAGGCTTGACAACATTCTAGGTAGCAGGATCCAGCCCCAGCCCCATGACACTTGGGGGCCTCTGCCATGCAGGCCTGGCTACAGCCTGCAGTATAGCCTGAGCTGGACTATTTGAGCTGCAAGAACAGACAGGACTATTCATGTTCCTTGTATCCTTCCCCCTATTCATGGAGGCAGAAGGCTTCAATGGAACTTGGGCTGAGCTGAGCCTCCCTGGTCCCCTTGCTCTCTCCCCACAAGGTCTGTTAGCCCATCCCCAGAGAACAGATAGGTCAGGAACAAGGGGCATCATGGAAACTTAGAAAATTCCAGCTGTTGATCTTGGTTTTGGCATCATGCAAAACAAAGGTCAAGTTTGCAAACCTCAAGGCAGGCTGACTTCCTACAAACCTAGTTCCCTCCAGATTCAGCTGCTGAGATCCCCCCCCTCCAGGCCCTCAGCTTTGAGGGAGGACATCACCCCAATCCTAGGAGCAAGCACTGCAGGCCCACCTCACAGAAGTTCAAGCCCTCGGGGCACACAGTCACAGTGTCCTACCCTTTGAAGCAGTCCTCCTCCCCTTGGCAGGAGAAAGTGGCACAGGTTTTCTCCTGGAAAGAAGTGGAAGGTTTGAAGAGAGAATGCTGGACAGAGGCTGTGCCATGACCCCAGCCACACTCACATGCTGTCCATGCCTCCTCTGCCTCCCAGAGGCAGGCAGGCATGAACAAGGCACTCACGTTCTTCTGGGGAGTAGATGCGGTAGTGGTCACCAGGGGTGGCATGGGGATCTGCTTGTCCTCTGGGATGCTCTGATGTCCTGCTTCTGGGAGCAGAAGAGGAGGCTGCCTGGGGAAGTTCTGACACCCTGGGGGCCTCTGCAAAGCCCCAGGTCCCACCCTGCCTTCCTAGGGTGTATGGGCAACTTGTATTCTGGCATCCCTCTTAGCTGCCACCTGGACAAGTGCAGGCACTTGTCACTTGTCTCCTTGGAACTTGTAGGAGAGGGGAAAGCTGGCTGGGCTGGCCTAGGGGAAGGAAAACAATGTGAAACAATAGGGAGCCCAGCTGTGGGGGAGGGCCTATGAGGAAGACCCCAAAGGTAGGGATCAGCCAGATAAGGTTTAAAGGTTAGGGTGTTCAGAGAGACTGGGGGACTAGTAAAAACTGAGCTGAAATTTGAGGACCTCTCAACGGGTAGCGTGGAGCTGGAGGCTCTGAACTCGTGGGTCAGTGACAATGAGAGTCAGAGTTGGGGGCGTGAGGTGGGGGGGACTTGGAGCTGTAGGCCAGGGCAGGCCAGGCTGAGTGCCAAGGGTGGAGCTCTCACCAGAGGCTGACAGTTTATTGAGTATCAGGCAGAATGGCTCCCCATCGAAGCAGTGTAGTGTGCAGGTGCCTGGGTTGGGCGCTGAATCCTTGGAGAGAAGGCAAAGGCTGGGACCTGTTTCATCTCCCTCCTTACAACTGAGTCTGCACCAGGCCTCAGAGTGGGAAGCATTAAGTTGAATCAGCTGAGTGAAGACAGGGCAGGCACACCCAGGAACATGAGGGAACAGCCAACCAATCAAGGCCTTTTTCAGCTTCTCCCAGCATCCCAAAGGACTCATCCCCCTCCTGCTCTTCAGCCTCTGTTTCCAGCACCTGACTGTACTGAATGTCACCAGCCCTTCCAATGGCCCCCTCTACTTCCCTTCACCTTGGAGTGGTGTCCCTTCTGGTCCCATCATGCCCAGCCTCATACCTTGCAGTTGTGTTCCCCCTGCCCACACTTTGCTGTCTGGTGGGAGAACATTACCTCCT